TGTATATATATATATATATACACATGTACATATGCTTGTATGTACGTACATGCATGGAGTGTACACTGTTATGTGTGTAACGTCTTGAGTGTGTATTTATTTCCCTGTATTGATTTCACCACCGTGTGCCAGTTGTGTCAGCATGTGATGCAGTCACACCCCGGATTGATACACTGCTCCCGTTTTGTTTGTATAGTGTATCAGCTGCAGCAGCAGGCGCCGACTCCCCGGCGGATCATGTGCCAGTACGATCCCCCCAACAGACCGTTCTTCTACGGACGAGAGTAAGTTCAATGTGATTGCGTGAAACGGCAACGCGCTGGCACTGTACGCAGAGAGTAGATGAGCAACTGGTGAGCTATGCACAATCTAGCTATGCATCCGACTTGGCTGGTAGCGCAGTGGGAGAGCAGATGTATACGGTGAACACATGTTACGTGGCTCACGAGTGCCATCAGATTCTATGCGCGTACCGATCCGACTTCAATTTGCTGCGAGAAATGAAGCTTGCATCATTACGTGTTGGCGATGGAAAGCCGAGATGGGAAAACCACGTGGGTTTGATCGCGCGAAGGCGAGGGGATGTGGCGATCACTTGCGGTGTGACGCGAGAAGGGAGTTGACAGGGAGTTGACAGGGAGTTAACAAGGAGTTGACAGGGAGTGGACAGGGAGTTGACAGGGAATTTACAGGGAGTGGAGTTGACAGGGAGTTGACAGGTCGGGAGTTGACAGGTCATGAGTTGACAGGGAGTTGCCAGGTTGGGAGTTGACAGGAAGTTGACAGGGAGTTGACAAGGAGTCGATAGGTCGAGAGTTGACATGGAGTTGACAGGTTGGGAGATGACATGGAGTTGACAGGGAGTGAAATTAACAGGGAGTTGACAGGTTGACTCTCGTGTTGCAGGTTTCACGGCATGGTGTCGCGGGAGGAGGCGGACGCGCAGCTGAGCGAGTGTGACGGCTGCTACCTGGTGCGGGAGAGTCAGCGTGCACCAGGATCCTACACGCTGAGCATGAGGTGAGCGATCGTCGCACATTCTACTCCCTCCTCCACACCCATCTTCTCTGAATCCGATATAGCATGCAGTGAGCCATCACATATTCTACTCCGATGCGTGCGGGGGAGGGAGTAGAATATGTGATGACTCACTGCATGGTAGATCGGATTCAGAGAAGATGGGTGTGGAGGACGGAGTAGAATATGTGATGGCCAACTGCATGGTAGATCAGATTCAGAGAAGATGGGTGCGGGGGAATTCTCTGAATCCGATCTAGCATGCAGTGAGCCATCACATATTCTACTCCCTCCCCCGCACCCATCTTCTCTGAATCCGATCTAGCATGCAGTGAGCCATCACATATTCTACTCCCTCCCCCGCACCCATCTTCTCTGAATCCGCATCTAGCACTGCAGTGAGGCATCTATGCTGTTTTTACTCCTCTCCCGCCGCACCATCTTCTCTGAATTTCCGATCTAGCATGCCAGTGAGCCATCCATATTCTACCTCCCTCTTCGCACCCATTTCTCTGAATATGGATCTGCATGCAGTGAGCCATCACATATTCTACTCCTTCCCACCGCACCCGTTCTTCTCTGAATCTGATCTACCATGCAGTGTGGCCTCACATATTTCTACCTCCGTCCTCCACAACCATCTCTCTCTGAATCGATCTACATGGCGTGAGTCATCACATATTCTACTCCGCTCCCGCCCGCCACGCATCTTCTCTGAATCCGATCTGCATGCAGTGCCAGCCATCACATATTCTACTCCTTCCCCCGCACCCATCTTCTCTGAATCCGATCTACCATGCAGTGAGGCATCATGTATTTTACTCCCTTTCTCCGCGTCCATTTTTTAGTAACCCAGCTAGCATGCAGTGGGGCACTGCGTATTTCATTCCCTCCTCCGCATCCCTTTTCTCTTAACCCGACCCGAAAGCCGACCCTGTGACTCTGTGACTTCATGCTGTGAGTCATCGCAACACAACACGTGTGCCGATGGAATGTGGAACGATGATTAGCGGCCATATGGCTATGTTAATATACATGTGTGCTGCTTGGTTAGTTACTGCACAGTTTCGTTTAACTAACAGGTGACATGTGGTATAATTAAAAAGCTGCATAAACTAATTCATTGGAGAAACTATTAAATTTTATTTTATTAAAAGCTGCAATGAAGTGTGCTAAATGGGGGAAAGATAGATGGCGAGAGTGTATGACTGAGAACAAAATGGGAGAGAGACTCAGACAAAGAGAGGAAGACAGGATTAGAGAAAGAGAGACAGGGGGACAGACAACAAGAGAATGGGAGAGAGAGGGAAAGAGCGAGTTAGAGAAAAAGAGAGAGAGAGAGCGAGAGAGAGAGAAAGCGAGCGAGCGAGCGAGCGAGATAGCGAGTGAATAAGAAAGCAATCATTCTCTTCCATGCAATTTACAACAGTAACATTAGTTCCTGCTCTCGGCTCTCCCAATACATCAAATTCTGCTCATCAATTTCGTCTCAGTTGGCTCCCGTGTATACGTATAAAAACGCATAATACCAATCCCTAAATCTACAGGTTCAACGACGTCACAAAGAACTATCGGCTGTTCTACGATGGCCACCACTACGTCGGCGACAAGCGCTTCGAGACTTTACAGGAGCTGGTGGCTGACGGTCTCATCACTCTATACATGGAGACTCACGCTGCAGATTACATCGCCGTCATGGCGAATGAGTCAGACTACGAGGAATCGCCATATTTTAAGTGAGTGCGCGTGTGTAGCACGTACTTGTGGATGCATGCAGATGCATAGATGCAGATGCAATCTGCATAGATGCAGATGCAATACATGCAGATAGTGGCACACTTCTGGATAGTGGCATGCGAGATGGCTTCATCTGGGATTCTTCTCACACAGCGTAACTCTAGGCGATCCCCTCCTGGCATCATTTCTGTGAAGTCGACCTCGAAATGCTACCGGCTACGTCTTTCCAGGATTTGAGCCGCCTTTCATCTCATGAATTACAACAGAGGTGGCTCGTTGTCATACACATTTCTGGAAACGCATCGCAAATGCGTTCGACCGGTCTGACCGCCGGTTTTTGCTTTAACGGCGTGTTAACGGGATACTACACCCTAGAATTTGAGGGTATATTTTGATAGTTAGTGCATAAATAATACTATATGCCTACAAATTTCTTTAATCATGTTTTCGCTGCAGACTTAACAGCCAGCTGTGACGATCGCGGACACAGCATAGTATCCACTCGAACAAGTCACTGCAGTTGTCGGGCAAGGCGCTCGGTCGGTCTGGCCCCCTGGTTTCGGCTTAGCGTTGTGTTAATGTTTCGCTGCAGACTCAATAGCCAGCTGCGGCGATCTCGGACACAGGACAGCATTCACTCGAACAAGTCGCTGCAGTTGTCGGGCAAGGCAGCCGAGCTGGAACCGGTCGAGATTCCTGTGGACGACATCGACTTTCTCCCCGATCGAGAGACGCCGGAGACGAGCAGCCAGCAGGGAGACTACGAGACGCCGCATCCGGATGCGGTGAGCAGCGCCATCTATTTGCGTTTTCTCGTCCGCTCCGACGGCAGCTTCGGGACGCCGTAGCGTCATTGTTGCCATTGCGATTTCCGTAGCTGTTGCCATAAAGCTGGAATGATCATCCGAGTTGAGACATTGTCACTGACATTGATGATTGATCGTTGACGTTGATCACTGTCATAGACATTGATAATCATTATGAGTCATTGTAGAGTCGGAAAATGTGTGTTGCTGCCTGCACCGCTCACGAGTGTGTAAAATAGGAGCATTGTGTCACTTTCTGTAGTCGTCTCATGTGTGGTTTTGCTGGTGCAGGTGCGGGGATTGGAGGAGGCGCTAGAGCGAAAGCGACTTGATGTGCATCATTATGAGAAGGCTCATCAGTTTAAGGTAACCACACTGATGCATAGACTGTAGATTTGCATTTTGAACTTCCATTTAGTTATACTTCATGGCATTATAAAGCATTGAAATGTAATAACAATCTTGTCGCTCTTTTAAAATACATTAATAAAAATATTTGTTGTCACAATTGCTGGCATCACATAATTATGATGTTTATCTCATATACGTGTATTTTATTTATATGCACATGTTAATTAAATTTATTATGCTAGTTTTGTGTTGATTTATTTTGTAAATAACTGCTAATTAAGCATGCATGTAACGTTACTGTACAGTGCACTCACCTGCCCATAGTAGAGTATTACTACTCACACTGGTCTGTGTCTGTGTTAGGTTCATACATTCCGCGGCCCACACTGGTGTGATTTTTGTGGCAATTTTCTATGGGGTCTCATCGCTCAGGGCGTGCGATGTCAAGGTAAGGAGTCGTCGATGCATCACGGAAATCTGTAGAGTCGTAGACTAACTGTGTTACTCTGCACTATAATAAAAGTATTAACACTGTGCATTAAATCTTCTTCAGATTGCCCAGGTTTGTAGTGTTTATGATGTAATATTTCTCTTTGAATCATGATATAATCAAGAATACTTATCAATTAGGAATACATATTACTGTATTAATAATAATTATGTATTGCTGATACAGTGTATAATTCAGACACTGGGTGGTGATGTGTTAGGCAGTGGGGCACCTTCTCTTATTCAACTTCTGTATACGGTCTATTTTACATGCAAATAGTGAAATAATATAATATGAGCTAGTGTTATTGCTAAGTTTGAGAAATACGATCGTTCTAAACTGTCGAGTAATTCTGACAAGTGCAGTGAAGCTAAAACAAGTCATGATGCCTTTTACAGACTGCGGCTTTAATGCACACAAGAAATGCTCGGAAAAAATTCCCAATGACTGCCTGCCAAATACTAAATACGTGCAGCGCATGTTTGGAGTTGATCTCACGACACTTGCGAAGGCGCACAACAGACCGCTGCCAATTGTGATGGAAAAGTGCATCAAAGAGGTCGAAGCAAGAGGTGAGAGTGGGAGAGTGAGAGTGAGCAAGATGGCGGTCTGTACGTAAGGGAAGGAGGGAGGGAGAGAGTGAGTGAGTGATGGGCAGGCTAGTGTGTATACTTGTTTGCATGTGAATGAGGGAATGAGAGCGGAAGGGAAAGTCGTCAGAAGGAAGAGTTATTGAGTTAGTGAGTGAGCGAGCAAGCAGGTATTAGTATCTTTGACAAAGAAACGAATTGTAGCTACACACTAACATTTTACACATAAATATCATAACTAACATACACATAAACGATCACACTAACATTGTTTTATATTTGTGTGCTTTAGGTTTAGATGCCGAAGGCCTCTTTCGAGTGTCAGGCTTCAATGATGACATCGAGGCTATTAAAGCATCGTTTGATAAAGGTACCTAGCGACGAATATGCTAATACCTAATGGTATTAGCCCTTTGTTAGCGAATGCATCTACTTTATTTATGCTGTGAATATTCCACCATTGTACTAAACCACATTCAGTACGTTGTAAAGTCCCTGTAAGAAGCAAGACTTATACAGATAACAGAAGTAACTTTCCACAGACTAGGTACCGAGAAGTACAGTAATAGAATAGAGAAGAGTAGAGAATAGATATTTACAAGATAGCTGCAAGTGCCAATGGAGCGAGTATTAACTACGTAGATATGCATAGTGAGAACTACTCTATTAAGACACCGAAGCATTCTCTCTGCTGCAGACGGTGAAAACACAGACATCAGTCGCGATGCGTACGAGGATACGAACACGGTGTGCGGCGTACTGAAGCTGTTCTTTCGTCTGCTGCCGATCCCCATCATCACATTCGACACGTACGACACGTTCATCCAGGCGGCAAGTAAGTAACGCCGCCTCGACCGCGCCGCACGGCGACCGCGCCGCACGGTGGCATGCCGGAACTATAATCATCTCTTCCCAGCTGGCTATCCTCTCTCTCTCTCAGCTTCTCTTTCTCATGAGTGGTTTTGTCATCTCTGCGTGGCCATGGTTTTCGTCCCTTTGTCCGAGTATCGTTCCTTTTGCTGAGTATCACGGCTTGAGCTTTCCATGTAGATCAGGAGTGAATGAAAACAAACATTTGTCTTTATTTACTCCTGATGTAGTTGCAGTGTAAACAATTGATTATGGAAAAAGTTTATGCAAAGCTGGGCACCCAGAGTGTAATATCAGGAACGAACAAGACTGTGAGGTATTGGTGTTCCACATAACCTAGCTGAATATTCATGAACTAAGGGGCAGAGACGGACTACCAGAACTGGTGCATCTGATGTTAATTTGTGTTGACTTGCGTCCTCTATTTTAAAGCCCTAGAAGTATTCTTTGTTGTAAAATACTATTATTGAGTGCTCGCTTTTATTAACAGAAGAGAGTGAAGACTTACAACTGGAGGGGATTAAGGATGGTATTTCCAAGTTGCCACCAGCACACTACCAAACTCTCAAGAACCTTATACAGCATCTATACAGGTAATGTATCCAATTCAACGACCAATTCAGTGTCTACTAGTGACAGTAGATCACAATATGGAAGGTTTGGAGCCTTCGCCATGATCGTGGATCGCCGTAGAAAAAGCCGCAAATTTGCAATTTACTAAAGAGGAAGGGAGAGAATTCATTCCAATACGGAATGACAGAAACAAAGAAGCTAAGCTTAGAGGGATCCTTTGAAGATGGCGCGTGTCGAAAGCAATGATTGCGCTCAATGATCGAGTGGAAACTCTCTTCTCGCACATCCCCCTGGGCCATAATAAAAATATTGTTTGTTTGCCCTCACCCGATCGACCCACCAAAAAGGGCCCAACTCAAAATTTTGTATTGATTTTTCCCATTCTTTTTTTTTTACAAATTGTACCAATGTACATTATATAAATCTGTAGGCAATATATTATATGTACCAAGCAAAACAAACATTCAGCATAAAAGGTATCTCCACACAAGCACACCCGAGCATGTAAACACCATGCTGAATTTGTAAAAAGACCCCCCTCGAAAAAAAGCCTTCCTACCTACCCAAACTTTTCAGCCCGAGTTGGGTGAGGGCAAACAAAGATTTTTTTTTAAATATTTTTTTTTAAATTGTGGCCCTGCAGGGTCTCGCAGCTGAGCCACAAGAACCTGATGACGATGGAGAATCTCGCGATGGTGTTTGGGCCGACACTGATGCGATCACCAGACAGCGACCCGATGACGTCGCTGCACAACGCCAAGTTCGGCCAGATCGTCGTCGAGTTACTGATCCGTCACCAGGCACAGCTGTTCAGGAAGTAGCGGCAGTTGCCGTGGCGACGGCTGCAGCATGAGTGGCAGCGGCGGCAGCAGCGGTAGTGGCGGTGGCTGCAGCAGTGGTAGTGGTGGCGGTGGGTGCAGCAGTGGTAGTGGTGGTGGCTGTAGCAGCAGTGATAGTGGCGGTGGCTGCAGCATGAGTGGCAGCGGCGGCAGCAGCGGTAGTGGCGGTGGCTGGGGGCAGCACGTGTAAGTAGGTGGCGGTGGTGCAGAGTGGTAGTGGCGGTGGCTGTAGCAGCAGTGAAGTGAGCGTGGCTGCAGCTGAGTGGCGCAGCGAACACATGCGGCATCAGCGGGTAGTGGCGGTGGCTGCAGAAGTGGTAGTGTGCGGTGGGTGCAGCAGTGGTAGTTGGGCGGTGGCTGTAGCAGCAGTGATTAGTGGCGGTGCTGCAGCGGTAGTGGCAGTGGCGGCAGCAGCGGTAGTGGCGGTGGCTGCAGCAGCAGTAGTGGTGGAAGCGGCGGCAGCAGCGGCAGTGGTGGCGGCTGCAGCAGCAGTGGTAGTGGCGGTGGCTGCAGCAGCAGCAGCAGCAGTAGTGGTGGCAGCAGCGGCAGTGGCGGCGGCTGCAGCAGCGGTAGTGGCGGTGGCTGCAGCAGCAGCGGTAGTGGCGGTGGCTGCAGCAGCAGTAGTGGTGGCAGCAGCGGCAGTCGTGGCGGCTGCAGCAGCAGTGGTAATGGCGGTGGCTGCAGCAGCGGCGGTTGTGGCAGGGGTGTGTGCAATCGTTGGAGAGCAAGGCCGCAGTGACGGTGTGACCAGTCACCTTCCGCTGGTCGGTGGTGCACCTTATGATGAATGGGGACACCCGCTAATCGATAGACGGATGAAAACCAGGTGGTAGGGTTTGCGAAAAGTCCGTGAAATGACCTCTGGTTGTGTCGTGGTGCGTAATCGCCCTTGGGACATCTTCTGGGAAACAGCATGGCCCTGTGTAAAGTAGCGGTTGGTCAGTAGGGTAGCCATTGGGGACTCAGGTAACCACTGATGTATTAATTGGTACAGTTTGTTCAGTGAAGTGGCTACTTTTCAGAAGGGTGGTGGTTGGACAAGGAATCACCACTGCTCACACCTGGTCAATGAAGTAGCTACTGGTGTTACGTAAGGAGGTTACACTTAGCAGTTGCTATCTGGTTCATAGAAACAGCAACTGGGCAGTGTGATTGAGTTTGGTTAAAAAAAAGTTGCCGTTTCACAGCGTGGCGATGTCTGGTCCAGAAAGTAGACATTGTTCAGTAGCATGGTGTCTGGTCAATGTAGCATCAACCTACTGAGCAAATATAGTTTGAGTTGTTGTTTGAAAATGTCCCCACGCTATGGAGGTGGTGGCTATCATATCGACGGATAGAGATGAGAAAACATTTGATATCTCCTGTATACATTATAAGTGAGCTGTGTTTGTTTCATCACATGAGTCATGATCTTCTAGTCATTTTAACACACTGTTTACTCGTGACCAAACCTTTACACATCCAGAACTTTACATAGATTAGGTACTTATGTATCCCTTATGTTTTCACAATTTGTCACGTATGTATACAGTAACAGTATTTATAGGTGATTCGATGATACTTGATCGAGTATAAAAATCACTGGGAAGTATGAAGTTAGGCTATATGTACTATGCTGAGAATACTTGAAGTTTTGTTGATCAGGTGATAGAAGATAGATTTCGTAAACTAGTCAATGCGCCACAGTGGATTACACTTAACTCGTAAACAATACCAACGCCTAGACAAAGTTGCAAGACTTTACCCTAATTTAAATGGGATAGTGTTACACTTTGTCTATGAGATGGTGTTTGTCTCTACGTTTGATTACCAGTATTATACACCACCCGTTTGTGTTAGTGAGAAAGTAGCTAGCATAAGTATATACAATGACTGTCATCGTTCGTTTACAGGACAAATGCTAGCAGTGATTCCCCTGGTTGTTTAATTCTTGTGAAAAGAAATCCTCATTTTTAGCCAGCAGGTGGCGCTGTACTGTAAAGCCATTGATACTCGGAATCTCATATAGATGAATAGAATGACAGTTTGCTGATTAGCTACATCAGGATGAGTAGATAGACTTAGAACCAAAAGTATTAAGACATGTCACATGAACATTGTGTGAGTAACATGTAATGAGTTCTCTGCAACCCTTTGTATGTAATTATCTGTTCAGTTTTGGCAAAGCTATGTTGTGTATAAATTGGTTGTCTCTTTGCTTAATAAAATAATAAAACGTAAAATACGTTTACGAGAGTTTCTTTATTACTTTGTTATGTTTTGCTCTCTGCTTAGCATTCAGCAAATAGAGATAGAGCGCGGAAAGTTAACTCGCAGTGCTACCAGTGGACTAAGCCCCCGGTGTAGTATTTACTGTGAAAGCAGCTGCGTGGCCTCGGTAAAGGAAACGGAGATAGGCCCCGCCGTATGCGCAACATAGGCGCGGGAAGGATTTAATTAAAAAAATAATAATTTGTGAATGCGAATATGTAACGTGCTCATCAGGAGAGAGTCATTCGAATGTTTGGTGTCGTGTGATGTGCGCTATATCAACAATGTTTCCTGATGGAAAAGGGATTTCCATACACGAGTTTTGATTATTCAATATTCGATGTACTAATGTTGTTGTTGTTTTTACAAATTCTACGTTTTCCAAAATATAGCGACCCATCTTTGGCATGTAATGTTATCAGAGATGAATAAAAACAAATAGTTTGTATTTACTCTTGATTTGAAAGTTATGTTGATAAATATATCACCACGAAATCGCACAACGTCGTTTATGTTAAATAATAGTTTAATTGTACTTGAATGCGTATATAAAGTAATATTGCGCTTCGCTACAACCTGGTAATACAAGAAAACAATTTCCTGTTAAATACATAAATATCATTTTATTAAACTATTGCTCTTTCTCAGCTAATTACATAAGCCTGTATGTTTGAAAATTTGCAAATATTTAAATTGATATATATTTTGAAATATTTAGTTTGAAATATATTGCAATTGAAATTCCAACAATACTGTTAATTGCAGCACATGAGTGTGTTAAAACTGTATACACTTATTCACACCGCCGGTTTTCCTCGGCTGTGCAAGCCTTTCATGCCTATTTAGTATCATTAGTTGTTTCATTCGTAAGCAAGGCAATTCTATAACTTAACGGATGGGCACGTACCAATCGCTATTTTGCGATATGATGACGCCATATCTACAGCTACCAAACCACTTGAGAGGGAGAGAAAGAAAGAGACCCTCCCCCCCACACACACATACAAGCGAAGGAGCGAGACAGCGATAGAGTGCCAGCGAAAGGGGGAGAGCGAGAAAGAAAGAGCAAGCTAGAGCGAAAGAGCGATCGAGGGAGCGAGAGATACAGAGAAAAGGTTTTCCAAAGCAAGATAAATATCGCAGGTCATTCAAATATAATCATGTGCGCTTGCCATTTTACATAAAATCGTGACGCAAAAGTTATCGAATTCTATATCGTATGCAATCACGTGCGCGCCGACGACATAAAAGATACGAGCATACAGACGAGGCTCAGCAGTGACCAAACGTCTCGCTCTAACTAGCTAAACGACGGACAATCGCATCTCTCGACTCTCTGATCAGCGTTCTCCGCCCGGCAGGCAGCGATGGCCATGTAGCACTCGTTGCTGTACTCCGTGCAGGCGCCGATGCGCAGCAAAGGACTGAGCGAGATCGTCTTGCCGCACACCGGTTTGTAGAGATCGTTACACGCTTCGATGCATTGCCGCTGTGGTTTGCGTCTATCCGGTACTGGGATTGTCGATTGGCGTTGGCAGGGGCATTTATGGTCGCATTCCATTTCGATATCTGCGATGATCAAAGATGGACGACATGAGAACTCACGATTTGAGTTAAAAACTCAAGGGTAGTAGAATGTAATTTAAGCGTAGCAGGGTAGCAGGTTAAACTTGTTTTGGCGATATGTTAAATTGATGCGTGCGCGAGAGATAAGCGGGGAGGGAAAGAGATTACAATTAGCGAAAAAGAGAGAGAAAGAGAGAGAGAGAGAGAAAGAGAGAGAGAGAGAGAGAGAGAGAGAGAGAGAGAGAGAGTGTATAATCATATATGTACTCGGCGTGTATACTACGTGCAATCAGAAGTAGATTAATAGGGGATCTACTTCTGGTGCAATGTATTGCGAGGAACCCACGCCTATTGGTACGTGAGAATAGGACAATAGAAGATCTTATATTATGTATTTTCTGGTGCTATGTATTTGGTTCGTAATGTATTGTTGGTGCGTATGTATTTTTTGGTGCGGATGGTTATTGGTGTATTTTTGGTGCGTGTTATGTATTTTTGGTGCGTATGTATTTTTGCGTGCGTCATGTATTTTTTGGTGGTATGTATTTTGGTGCGTATATTATTTGTTGCGTATGTCATTTTTGGTGCGTATCGTATTTTTGGTGACGTATGCATTATGCCTTGTTTTTCTGATGCCGTATGTATTTTTGGTGCGTATGTATTTATGTACAGACGTTTAATCTCGCCGTAACTTTGGGCTATTATATTACGTAGCAGATCTCGTCAAACAGCGACTCACGACTGCTGCTGTAAGTAAGCAGCGTCGGCAGGCAGGCAGGCAGGCAGGCAGCGCTGGAAGGCAAGCAGGCAGGGCGGGCAGGCAGCGTAGGCAGGTAGGCAGGCAGGGCAGGCAGGAGGCGCAGGCAGGCAAGCAGGCAGGCTGGCAGCGCTGGCGGCAAGTGCAGACAGGAGGCAGGCGGCTTGGCCAAGCAAACAAGAGCAGCAGGCAGGCAGGCAGGCAGGCAAGGCAGGGAGGCAAGCAGGCAGGCAGCGGGGCCGGCATGACGTTAACACGAAGAAAGCAAAGGTACTTACTCATTCTGTAGCGGTACGTGCGCAGTCGAGGTAGCACTCGTTCTGCCGTACGTGATCTCGTTTGGTGGCCGCCACATCTGGCTCGGCTGAGATCCCGCAGCGCTTTCAAGCAGTCCTGCCTCACACTCGGCGTGCATAGTTAGCGGTCAGGCCAGCATCTTAAAAATAAGTATAAATTAAATATTAATAAGTAATAAATATGTATTAGATTACGATTATATTTCTTGCTTTCTTACTTCTTTTTTTTTTCTCCCATTCCTCTGTCTCCTTCACAGTCATCATCATGCAGTCATCATCATCATACATCATCATCATCAGTATTCATGTTCCGTCGTCGCGCGCGCATCATTCATCATCATCATCAATCATCATCATCGTCATCTTATTCTTATTTCTCTTATTTTTCTCTTCTTTTCATCACTATAATTAATATGTTAGTTGTTGTTGTTTCCAGGTGCCTACTGCTGCTTAGTTAGTTTTCTACGACTACTTTGGCATGCACTACCAATCTTCCAGCTTTCCAGCCATAGACTGTCAACTGGTAATCAACACTGGAGTGTTTTAATTCTACATAAATATCACTCACTAGCTATTACCGCGTCCTCTCCAGACGGGTTTGACTGAGGTCTGATTTGAGGATGGCGGTTTTAACCATTTATCTCTCACTTTTAGTTGAGGATGTATTTACAGTAAACGAAAAATACTGATATTAAACCGAGTCATATATCCATATTTTACCTTAAAATTACGACAATTTTTCAAACAAAGGAGAAATAGGGTGATTTCATGTACAATTTCACTTATTTAGATATTATTTTTGAAAATATCATTCTGGTTAGAAGCATCATTGAATAAGTCAAATTCTTAAAAAAAAAGCAAAACGCATTGAGTAGTTTTGAAGAAGTCTATTTCTTGAAAGTCAGTTGGCGGCGGCGGCAGCGGTTACACCCCCGTTGTCGAATATTTGCACACCACTCGCGCACACACACACATCACACACACGCGGCGCACGCACGCACACACCGCATTCACACACACACAGGCGCGCACACACATACACGCACACGCACACGCACATGCACACGCACACACACGCATACATACATACATACATACATACATACATAACATACATACATACATACCATACATACATACATCACATACATACATACATACATACATACATACATACATACATACATACATACAATACAACATACATACATACATAATACATACATACAATACATACATACATACAAACATACATACATAACATAACATTACATATACATACATACATCACAACACACACAC